GCCCCGCCCCGCCCCGCCCCGCCCCGCCCTGCGGGGGGAAGTGCAGCACAAGCAGCACAAGCGGCTGGAGCGCCTTCCCACTGCGACAGTCCGCACCTGACGTATGGTCTCAAGCGGCATTTTTCAATGAAAGCGGAAAGCGTTAATAAGACGCCTTTTCTTCAATTCGTGCGGCCCTTAGTGTTAACCCGTGATGTATATTTTTCTCCGTCGAGCCACTTGCATAGAAAGGTCAAGTTCTATGGACTTTGTTGCCGGGTTTTAATAAAAATACAACACGATCTGCTTTAAACCCATGCAGGAACGGGACACCACTTAGATGAAACATTTGACGAACAAAACGGGTGGCAGCCGGATGTGTTTGTGATTCGGGGCTCCTTGTTTGTCGCAGTGGTGGCTGAGCTGTGCGACGGCGGCGTGCACCCGCCCTGGCTGCTGTGGCTGTGCATCGCGCTGGGCGTCCTGTTCCTCATCATGCTCATCATCAACTGCTTCCTCTGCTCGGCCATGACCTGCTCGTGCGCGCGCACCGAGGTCATCGAGAAGGAGCCGTCCATCATCGAGGACTACGACCCTTACCGCTCCTGGCACGGCTCCCAGTACGGCTCCAGGTCAGGGCAGCGAAAAAGTTGCAGCTTAAGCCTGCCGACCGTTTTACTTAATTGTATTTCATTTTATATTGCATCGCACTGTATTACCGTGTGCTTTCCCCCCTACAGATACTCGCTAAACGGCAAGCCTGGCTACACGTCTGGCGGTTCAACCATGAACTCGACGCGCTCCGTGTCGACCAACAGCGACCACTACGCCATCGTGCACTCGCGCCCGGGGAGCCGGTACTCGCACAAGAACCAGCGCGACCGGGAGCGGGACCGAGACGGCCGTGACCACCGCGACCGGGGGCCGCCCAGCCACATCGGCAGTCACTACTCGGGGAAGATGTGATGAAGCACGCCAATCCGACTGAACAATTTTTAATTTGGTTGAAACGTGAACACCAATAATCCGTCCCTGTCTGGAGATGCGCGCGAGCCACTGGCAATACTCCACATTCGTCGCCCTCAAAATTTAATGTTAGGGGGAGAAAAATGTGTAGGGGGTTGGAAATTTTCTTGGAAAGCATTTGGAAAGAATTCCAAAGATACTCTGTAAAAGAGTCCGCCGCAATGAACGTTCCCCGAGGTGACGCGAGGGAACGTTCCCTTGCCCTTGCCGGAGCCCCTGCCTGGCCTGCCCCCTGCACTGGGGCACTCTGGACGAGCCGCCAAGTCTACAGAGCTGCTAGGCGGGTTTGCCTACCCATCATATCGCAGGCGCTTTCACTAGCGTAGTCTAGCCCGCCAGAAATAAGGACTTGCTACGGAATGGCTCACACTGCGTGAGCGCTGACGAAATCAGGAAACTTTTGCATGTGGGGGCTTAGCCGAATGGTACCTAACGTTTCCTCGCGTCGCGTTGCCTCGGAGTACATTCATTGTGAGGGCTCAAGCACCTTAAGACAGTGCTACTGTGTGCGCTTTATTTCAAATTAGTTTTGCCATATTTATTCATTACATTGAGATTATTGCTTTTCAAGGGAGTGAAGTCTGATTGTTAACATTTATTTTGGCAAATATTGAAAATAATCAATGTACTACAAATAAACTTAAGTACTATTATTTTTT